ACAAACTATGAAAACAGTTGGAAGATAAATTGTCAAGGCAGACATGAGTGACATACAAAGGTTTAAAATCCTCCTAGTGTATGCAGTAATAAAGTGTTTTATAAAATAATCTCAATATGCTGTTTTTACAGGGTTTTACAAAATCACAACAGTAATCTCAATGAACAATTGGCCTGCAGAGACAAAAATGCATCAGCAAGGAAAAAGCATGTGAAAATGAAAATGCTGCTCAATGGTTATTGTAAAGTTACAAAGTCGATGTCAAATGTCTTTTTAGGACAAAAATACACTTTTAAGCAAATGCACAGGCACAAGCAATGAGGTGGTAGGATTTACCCCACGGGGGCAAACACATTCAGGGGACACAGACCCCACAATCAACTCTTTGTTGACAAAGCCACATGGTGTTCAACAACACTGCACGACACTACACTCTATAATCGTCTTTCAGTTTGTTAAACCATGCAGCACAGAGGCCTCCAACCAGTGGACTTACAGAGATATTTTCAGATCTGATCGTCCTGAGGCCAGCGCTGTAAAACAATCCTGTTAAGAATTTATCTCACTCGTGTCTTCTTGCTGGACGCATTCATCTTGACAGTATTATCTCTCCTTTGTTACCACCGGGTTAAAAGATGAGGTAAATCATTAAGTCCTCCCCGTGACATTCACTCCACAATGGTCCACTGACCTTTAAAGATGGATGAGCACATAGCTGGAGAATCCATGTTTGTAACCAAAGAGGATCACTTTACACAGCACATTTTCTCAGTGGCTAAACAGCAAGAAGCAACTTGTCCGAAGCGGTCCATTAAAATTTGGACAGGTATTTCTTTTTTATTTATCGTCTCAAATCCAGCTAAATGAATTTAAAACGTATCCCTGCAAGGTTATGATCCTGATATATTAACTTAAAAGAGTGTTCGAGAATGTTCACATCCATAAAGTAAAAAGTCATTCTTCTTATATGCTGTCCTATATGTTGTCCTCCAGATTTAATATAATGCATCACGACAACAGGAGTAAATAAACAGCCAAGTGTTTTTGTCTGGAGGATCTTTACCGGAAAGGTTTGCCATTTTATCTAAATCTAAAGTAACACATGCTTCAATGCTAATGAAAACCAGACCTGAGGAACGAAGGCCCGAAAATAAGCAAGAAGTCAGCTGATTGTAGTGAAGCCTAGAGTGTGACTGTTCTGTTCGAACCCAACCAAGCCTGAGAGAAAACTGAACCGAGCCTGACTCCAACCCAACAGGCATTATGTTTTTTGTGTCTGAACCCGACCCAAGTAGATAGCCCAGCCATGAGCGGGTCCACATTGTGTTTGTGGAAAATTACATTTGCAAACACAACGGTGACACGTCAAGAAAGGCAGGATTGCACCAGCAAGGTGCAGCTGCACCATCTAAAAAACGCAGATTCTTCTTCCATAGCAAGGTCCATAAGTCGCACACTCTTCATCTGATGTGGACACACTCAAATATAGGTTGAATGTTGGCACTCCTTCACGTATTTTATTTCACATTATATCCAGTGTGCTGGAGCACAGAGACAACATAAAAAAACAATATGTTGTTGTTCCTCACCACACTGTGCAAATGAAAATGTCAAACATCACAGCTCTGTGTCCTCGATGCGGTCCGGGTCCTCTATGGTCTCCAGCCGTCTCTTACAGGCTTCTAAGATCTTTTTCCTCGGGCCTAAGGGGATGTGGATACTCTTAAGGTCGTGGTCAGAGCACAGCAGCAGTGCTTCAAGATCAATCTTCTCCCTCTTGAAGATGGAGTTAAACTCACCCATGCTCTGTGAAGCCAGGAAGACTTCCAGAGGACTTGTCTCCGGCTCATCATCATCGTCCAGCCCTAACTCAACTTCATCCCAGGGCAGCTCCTCAACGTTCCTCTCCTGTAGGCTGCGTGCGCTGCCGATGCTGTCTTCATCTAGACTCGGGTATGGCTGCAGCCGACTGCGTAAGCGCACATTACTGCCGGACTGGTCTGCACTGGTGTCATCCCGACCACTGATGTCAAACATCCCCCCACTCACATAGTTCCTCCTAAAGACCATGGTGCCCAGACCGGGCCGGTTGAACAGGGAATCATGTCCCGAGTCGGTGCTGATCTCAGAATAGTCCACATCGGACCTGTGGAGATCCGGCTCGCTCATGGCACGTGAAATGGCATCGTCATTGTCTCTGGGGAACATGTCACGGACATTGCGGCGGCCGCGGTCCTTCAGGTTTACATACGTCCCCTGTTTGACAAACATGACATCGTTGCCCAGCTGAAGTCCAGAGAGGGAGCGCACACTCTTTCGTCCGTCTTCATAGATTTTAAAGGACCCGTCTCCTTGTTTCCTCTTCTCCAGCTTCTTCTGTATCTTTGTCTTCCCTCGATTTGTGGCATGGAGAGTAGCCTGACAGGACAGGAACACAACAGTGAATATTCTTAAAGCCAGTGAATAACTTACATCATCACACTGTTTTAAAAGCTTTGAGAATAAATCCCATGTTTTTCTCATAGGTACTACTTTCATGCCATGTATGCTATTAAATTAGCAGCCACGTTAGCGGCATACTGCTAAGGAAACCATATCAATATCATTTATTGGTCAGTCAGTCAGTTGACTATTGGACAGATTGCCATGAATTCTTTTACAAACATTCAAGGTCGCTAGATGATGAACTGTAATATCTTTGGGAATCCCTTCAGTTTTATTTTTATTTGTGTTAAGTTGTAATTAGCTACATTAAATTAAGATTGTGAACATAGTAATGACTATACCAGTGTTAACATTGTGTTCATGGTAGCATTTAACAGTCATGCTAAATTGCGCAATGAAGACGAGGGAAAGATGAGAAACTGAACTATGCAAGCATGCAGGTGTTTCGTTTAGGAATAGACCAGGTAAAACTACAATCCATCAATGTAGATATTGTCTAATAAATCTCCTGACCTGTGAATATGGCACACTGACGGTAGCAGCATTGAAGCTGCGCAGCTTGTGGCTAATAGAGCTGCTGGTGTAACTGGAAAAACTCATGACGTCAGATGCAGACGCCTCAGACGCCTCCTTGTGGAACTTTTGCTCCATGCGTTTCTGGTGTTTCTTCTGCATCTTCATGCACTCTTTGATCCGTCTCTCGGCATCACGAAACGCCCGGTCCTTCAGCTTGCCGACCAGCTTGGGGTTGAGGCCCGTCTGTTTGGCCGCGATGGAATCCAGGTAGCGGACGCAATCCATGTGATTCTTTGTGGCGGCCATGTCCAACGGCGTGTGGTAGTCGTTGTCCAGGCACCATATGTTGGCACCAAAAGACACCAGGAAGAAGAGGCAGTTGTGGTGACCGTTGGCAGCCGCCAGGTGAAGCGGCGTGTTCCCCCACATGTCACACTTGTCGGGGTTTCCTCTGGGGACCATGAGAAACATATTAGCTACAAACTCATGTCATATTTACTGAATAAATATTTTCATTTAAAAAGGATGCTTTTACTGTGTAGAAAAACATGTATGAACTGTTATGCAGGAACTGCAAACATGTTTACCCCTGACGGTCCACGACCTCAGGGTTACCTCTACGTGTGCTGCGCTGTTGCTGTCGGCCTGTAATATGACCACAGGCTTGCCAGCACCACTGCTACACAACCTGTATCGAGTTTCAGGGGGAGGCCGAATAGGTTCACTCACTCAAAGAGCACCACTGTGCACAGCTCGTGATGTCATGGTGAATTCCTCATGTCAAAACATAAAGTGTATCTGCTGGTTGGACGATGTGAAAAACAGATGTCTATGGTGCTTTCTAATTTTCTATCCATCATACACCTGAATTCCAACTGTCTAGTTCTGTCTCTTTTTTTGCTTATTGAAAAACTCTTTGTGAAAAGTAATATACAGAAAGCATCTTACTGACAATCACTGACATTCAAAGGTAAACACGATGCGTTTTCAGATTGTTTGTGACTACTGGAACTACATTTTAGAAGTACAATTTGAACTTCTCTCTCATGTATTTGTGTTTATTTTAAGTTTAGAGACATCTGATTGGCACCACAGCCTCTGCGTTTACATGTTTACTGAACTGTCTTGTGTCTTCCCCCCGTCCTCCGACGTTGCCACATACAGACTGCTGAATATTTGATACGATGGACGTGAGGCTACCGTTGAAGTGCAGATTTATTATTGATGCATATTGTTGCGAGCTTTTCACACAGGGAATGTGTGACAGCTCTGCTGGACCTAAGCTGGGCAGCGATTGGCAAAGCACCACTCTGATTTCAGCTCCCTGCTCTTTCTTTCTCTGGACAGGAAGTGGTTTAAACGATAAAGCAAAATGATTTTCAGGATCGTCGGCTGCTTGAGTACAGAGGAATGGCTGTTATCATTTATGCAGGACGGATTGTATGTGTAGCCCTGAAAGTGACAATAAAACAAAGCTCATGACACCGCTAACCCTGCAGGGCATATACATGAAGGGACATAAAATAATCTGTGATACAAATTGATGAGAAAAGATAAACAGCAATTAGCAATGTTAAATTTTTATGTTGAGATGAAACATTTATCACCCTCTGCACTCAGATTAAACAATACGCTTGTCATTGTTAGGAGCCATCAACACGATAGCTTTATGTGCCATAATTTATATGTGTCCTTGTAAAATGTTGACCTCAGATTTGATAGGTCTGCTCACTTATTATCGGCTGTTTGCATTTTCACAGCTTGATGTTATACTGCAGGGCGCCCACTACTATATATATGCCAAATATAGAACAGCACGGCTTCGTTCCCATGAAAATTACACAGCAGCATTTAACTTCTCTTCAATATATCCCTGGGTCTCACGAGTCTGGTGCCTCTGTGAAACATTATGGCCGCTATTAATGTTTCATTTTATGACCTTATGTCATTCAGGGGAGAATGTACAGCTGAATGCCTCCAGTTATTTGTTTACACTTAATCCGTGGGAAATGGTGAATTGACTATTATCACCTACAGAAAAGCTGCTGGACATTTTTTCTGCCTTTTGCCGAAGTTCTGATATTTTGCGTTCAGTTAACTAAACGCTGATGAATGACATTTCACAGCAAAGTCTCTCACAAAGTTGACTCAATTAAGCTGACTCATAATGGGCCCATTTTTCTGGCTGGCAAGCAAACCAGGTCAGCCAGAAAACATGAGGAGTGGGCCGTTGTGTGTCTCCTTGTCCCAACTGTCCATGAACACTTTGCTAATGAAAGTCCTGCATGTTTTCTTTCAGTAGCTGATTCACAAAAAAAAAGGTAATGTAACAAATAAACCGGTTGAATGTTAAAAATCAGCCACAGACATATAAGTGTTAGTGTTTATTTGCTGATATGAAAACTTTAAGAGTTCTATATATTTGCTGTATTTGTAAGTTTTTAATTTGCAGTTATCCATAGTTCAGTTGAAAACTGTAAAATATTAAGCCTCAATTACAACTTATATTGGTGTCAGATTAGCCCTCAAAAAGTCCCTGCAAGAACTTTGTATTTCATAATGAAAAACACACAACAAGTGAAACACAAGTGAAACACAAGTGAATTGTATTAGTGCCATAATGCACCATTGAAATAAGTGTTTACTGTTTATTTGGTAAACTACACTGAAACACTGATTGCTTTTTTAGAAATATCCCATATATTTTGTTTTATAGGCCAACATAGATGTTCTTGTTTTTATTAATGCAGAACATCAGCTGCACAGACCTGTCGACCTTGAACAGTGTCATCATGTTAAATGGTATGGAATTGTTCGCTGCTTCCAAAATCAATACCAATGAAGCTGTGATAATAACAAATCTTTTATCATGATGCATTGGTATTAATCAAAGTCTATGACCTCCAGAAGGTGTTTGTGAGGGTTACACAACCATCAGCCTATTGAAAAACCTCAATTCTAATCTTATAAAACACTAATGTTCTAAATATTTTACCTATTAATTAGGACACAACGCTTTATGTAAGATTTAGAATATATTCTGATGTTAAAGAAAATAAAACTGTTTCTGGATATATGACTGCTTTCATCGTGTGAGTGTTTTGTTCAAATATAATGTTGGCCCAACATGGAAATAGGGTTATGACACAGGTACAAAACAAGCTCTTGTGCAGGGTTTGAGAGGTAACCCTCATTGTTAGTGGTGCATTGTCAGTGTAAAGAGGAATTTTGTAATTGTTTGACAAATATCTCACAATATATTGAATTTGTATATATTCTTTAAGTGGGGTACTTAAAATCTCAATATTTTTCCTTATTCTGCATAATTTGCAAAGCAACAGAGGATCATCAGTAATAACATGAAATGGCATCATGGACATGAAGTGAGCGAGGTGGTGTCAGCCTAAATAAGGTTTCACGCAAACCACACTCACACTAGTCATAAACTTTCTACCCACCCCCTCGCCACGATGAGCCGCAGAGCCTCCAGGTTGCCGTGAAAGGCAGCCCATAGCGTCGGTGTCATGCCATCCTCATCCGGCGCGTTGAGATCCTTCCGCGTCGCCTCCTTCAGCAGGTCCAGGTAGCCGTCCCGGGCCGCCTTGTGGTACCTGTCATTCATGGCGCACAGTTTGTCCGCCCTGCTCGACTCCTTTCCGCTTCATCAACACCATCGTCGTTGTCTTCATGCGGGCATTAGGTGGGAACAGACCGGCTGGAGTTCCCATTCGCCCCCGCTGGTTCTCCGGCTGCTGGACGGTGCAGGAGAGACAGGCAGAGCGCGTCGCCGGTATCCAAGGACGCAGCAGTGCGCAGAGCGTGCAACAGTGCTCCCGGTGGTCAAAGTGGTCCAGATGAGGGACTTCTCTGGTCTGTAGAGTGAAACCACACAGAATATACATATCAGACTAAGTGTGGCAAAACTGGGACATGACCTTATCTTTTAATGTTCTTCTGCCTGTGCCAAAAAAATACATTATCCTTTAGCTTAGTGAATTTGTAGCTGTATGCAGATACAACTGTATTTTAGGTGTTCAAAAGATGCTCATTGTGTTGGCTATGAAATTTGTATATTAATCTAAACTGGTGGGATATTTCCGTTTTTACTAAAGGTTATAAAATCTGAAAACATTTCCTTCATGGTTTCAAACTCATTCTGGAATGAAGGTGGAAGACAAACCACCAATTGTACCAAAGTTGTGAAATGATGAGCACTGACATTTGAAACAAAGAATTGTGCAACTGTGATCCTGTTCAATAAAACATTGTTCTAATTTTGACTTATGTTTCTGAATAGATGTACTATGAAACATGACCGTGGACGAGAAAGGTTTTCATGATGCAACAAAAACAAGTACCACTGTTGTCAGCCACACCCTGATGAAGTATGACCAAGGCATATCAGAAGCAGTGGCTCAGAGACTGATGTCCTCACACATTCAACCCAATTGAAACCTCCATAACAATAGGCACAGATAGTGGCTGGGCTTTTCATGCACTACACCTCAGGCATTTAGCTGTGAGACGATGCCGAGGCACATCTCTTCAATGAGCTCAAAGAATTACCCTCAAGCACAGAATCAGAATGATTCAACAATTATTGCCTGTTACGCATATAAGAGAATTCAGATCACGTTTCTGTAACACATGGTGGTCACCTGCAGGTAGACAAGGAGATCAATGTTAATAAACACAACAGCATTTATATTTACAGCTGCATGTATTTTGTGCCTGCTGCTAAAAGTGACTGACATTATCAAAAATCTATTTGTACAAAATCAAAAGAAGTGCTGTTTACCTGGAAAAGAACCGGTTTCTTGTATTTTGGAATTTGTGAGAAAAGGTTTTTCCGAGAAACATCTTTTGAACTTCAGATTGTTATTTTGTGCATAACACGCTGTGTTTGGTAATAATATGGTGTTTTTCATAACAGATTCATTTGGATTTATGACTCTCTCTACAGTAAACTGTTTTGGGAGGCATATAAAAGCCGTGGTGCTCAGACTGCCCCCAGGATCACACTACATCAGGTAGGTTTACAGGTATCTTGAAACCTTTCCTTTATCTTTAGGAGGTCACTGCTTTGTTGAACTGCTCAATTTTAGAAAAATGATAAAAAGCAATTTTCAGTTGTCTTGATATTATTCCTGATTTTAGCAGAGATGGAGAGGTAACTTCAATGAAAATGGTACAGTTAATCCCTATTAACATGGGTGGGGGTTCTTATTCAGTGCAGCCCTGTTGACATGCATTGCTTGCCAAAATAAGAGACACAAAAGGAGGAAATTAAATCCCATATGTTGATTTGAAACTGCTCTTTTGTGTAGCACGGACAGGGTGACAATTATGCTGATTTTGGGTCCATGGAAAAGTTTCACTTGGGCGTGATCGTCTTTAAAGGAAGCCAGCCAGTGGGTGTACTTGTTAAACCTGTAATGTTTTGCATCCAGCCAGATGCAAACAACAGAAAACACTCATTTGTGAATTGATCTAAGGGAGAAGGAACATGTGTTTGAACACCGGACATCCCTGCAACTGTTTGACCGATGGCAATCCCTGTGAACCATGCAGAATGACGGCCAAAGACCGGGAGACGGAGGAGGCCCACCTGTCCAACAACATCAATGTACAGAGTCAAGCGGGGGGCACATGTGAACCCGACCTGAACACCCCTTCCAGTGGGGTCGGGAGGGAGAAGGGTCATAACTGGGGATGGATTTTGTCTGGGGTCATCTGTCTCAACGTTTTGATCCTGGGATGCACCTTGGCCAGTGGCACTGCTCACAGCGATGTGGACATCAAAACGACAGACCTGCAGATTTACCTCATCGTCCTTCTTCTCCTCACCTCCCTTTGGATGATTTATTATATCATCCTCACGGCCAGGAAAGAAAACGCTGTTGTTTACCAGGATGCCCACGCTGGACCGGTGTGGCTCAGAGGTAAATAATATTCCACTTGCTTGAGAATGAAGAGTTTTTTTTAACAAAGTGATTTTGAAAGGTTTAAAAAATGTCTCCTGTTCTACATGTTCTTCTTTCCCTCAGGGGGACTTGTGCTGTTTGGTCTGCTCAGTATTATCATGGATATTTTTAAGATAGCCAGCTATGTGGGCTACCTCCACTGTGACTCTGCTGTTAAGGTTGCATTCCCTGTGGTGCAACTTGTTTTCATACTTGTGCAGGTAAAACACGCCTAAACGTTACATGGGTCACTTTGTAGATTTACATATATTAAGGTTGTAAAATATTAAGCTAATTGTGAAAATCAATTTGCAGACGTACTTCTTCTGGATCCACGCAAAGGACTGTGTGCAGCTACAGAGGAATATAACACGGTATGTGATAAATTCCTTTCTCTTTGTCTTTGTAAATATGCAGGCATGTTTAAGGGACTTATATTCACGAATTTGGTGCTAAACATTTGGATCTAGTGAGTTTAAATGTTGTTTCATGAGGAAATTCTTTAGCCTTTGTGGAGGTATGTGCTCCACTGAGTTGTATTCTAGTTTTATTACTTTCTCTAAGTGATGAAAATTCAGAAAGACAGAACATATCAATTTGCTGAAACTGAAAACCCTAAATTAAATCATCAATTAACTCTTAGGATTGTTGGCAATTATTTTTGATTAAGCTCAAACCAGCTTTTGGTTCAAACTATATCAGAGTATCATTCTAATCTGACATGGGATATAATGACCCAGAAAATCCGATCTTATCTTGCTGCTGTTTTCTGATCTGTGTTTCCTCTTGTGTGTCTCATCTTTTTTCAGCTGTGGGCTGATGCTCACCCTCTCCACAAATCTGGTCGTGTGGATGACAGCGGTCACCGAGGAGTCCCTTCACCAAACAACCGTTCCTGATGATCCAGAGAACATCACCAAACTCTCTGCGCGAAGCCAGTACATTTTTAAAGGTAATCCATTCAAGCGATTAAAGGAGATTAAATAAATCAATAATAAAAAATACAACAACATAATCTTCCTCTCTCCCTATGCTCTGTTGTCTTACAGCAAGTTACGGAGACAGTAAGTGCAAGTGCAGCCACACGTCATGTAGCATTTTCAAGGAGGCCTATTACTACCTGTACCCCTTCAATATCGAGTACAGTCTCTTTGCCTCTGCCATGGCCTACGTGATGTGGAAAAATGTAAGTCGAGTGGCAGATGAACACGCCCACCACAAAATCAAATTCAGTCTGAAGGATATATTCCTCGGCCCGGTGGCAGGAGTTCTCTTAGTTGTGGCAGGTCTGGCAACCTTCATCGCATATGAGGTGGAAATGAAAAAGGAAAGCAGTGGTGATGATGATAATGACAAGGCCGTGATGATGCACTTTGTCATGAATATCGTCATCGTGACCTTGATGTCCATTTCGTCTGTGATTGGCTGCGCGATCTACAAGGTCGACCACCGAGAGCATGTTTCTGAGAAAAACCCCACGCGCAGCTTAGATGTAGGGCTGCTGGTGGGGGCCTCACTGGGACAATTCATCATCAGCTATTACACCATCGTAGCCATGATTGCAACTCAGGCCAAAGGCTACTTAAACAGGCTGAACCTGGCCTGGGCTATCTTGATGGTGGTCCAGCTCGGCCTGCAGAACTTTTTCATAATCGAGGGGCTGCATCGGGAGCCCTTCCACGAAGTGCACACGGTCACTGTGGTTTTAAATCCGTACGTGCTGCAGCCTGGCAAAGAGCTGAGCAGCCTTGAAGAATCAGACATGGAAAAAAAGCCAAACCCAGTATCCACAGAGCACGGCCTGCACGGACACACAGCTGAGCACAGACCCAAACTGTCATGGAAGAGAAGGGTGTTGAAGGAGGTCTGTGTGTTTCTGCTGCTGGGAAATGTCATAGTAAGTACCATTCACCCTCACTGCCTCAGGTTGACTGTTTGAAAATTAACCAAATACTCAACCTGCTCTGTCTTTCCTTTCTCTCACAGCTGTGGATCATGCCGGCGTTCGGTGCTCGTCCCCAGTTCGACCATGACACTGAAACTGAATTCTACAACTTCAACATGTGGGCTGCTGTTGTCAATGTTGGACTTCCTTTTGGGATCTTTTACCGCATGCATTCAGTCGCCAGTCTGTTTGAGGTTTTTATGACTTCGTAACACTGCAGAAGGAAGAAAGAAATTATAAAACTGTTTTGTACAAATTGTGGATGTACTTTGTTCTGACGATGCTCTGTTATTTCTCTAAAATGAAGTAATTAGTTCTCTCTGTCTGTGAAGTACTTGACAAATGTCATCACTTTGATATTGCTCATTATGATATAACCTGAACATTTAACAGTGAAAATGTATTCACCATACTATTTTAACAAACGTACATATGCTAACCTTGTGCAATTTAATGTTTCATGCTGTATGTTCAAAAAATAAAGGCAAGCAATAAAAGAAGATGAATGAAAGGGAACAAGTTATTGTCCTATATATTATTATTATTATTGTTGTTAGTAATAGTAGTAAGAGGAGGAGGTGGAGAAGTGGCATTAGAGGGACATTATTATTAATAAAAGGAAATTCAGATTGCTGGCATCTCGTCTTGCCCAATTTAAAGACAGGTTTTTATTGGAGCTGAACACAATTGATCATGATATGTTGGTTGGTTTATAGATAATTAATCTGCAATTAATGATTGTCAAAGAATTGGTTGGGTCTCATATTCCAGCCTGTACATTTTGTTTTTCTTGCAATATAACTTCATATCTTAATAGGCTTAATAGGCACATTCGATGATTTTCCGGTTGTATGAACCAAATATTATTGAATCTATCAAGAAACCAAGCAGCGGATTGATATAAAGCTCATATGACAGAATGAACAAGTATAAACCGCCAATTAATCAAACCCTGTAAATAAACATGTAGACCTAAGCCTCTGGAGACAACCTACACCACTAAAGTACAAGAGGCCAACTCATTTATATTATAACAATAATCCAAAAGATGGTCCCGAATGCTTACCTTTGAGTCAGGCACGTTTCAAGCCACACTCACCGAGGGTCCTCAGCACACGGGTTTGTTTATATCCACGTCACCAGGAAGTACATCCTGAACTGTCCCAGTTCAAAATGCAGAGACAGGTAACCTCACAACAAATTCGATTCTGTGACATTTTACTGAAAACTCATGTGTTCGAATATGGTGCAGAAAGTCTTGGTTAATATCGCAGAATTCAATATTCACCACTTCATCGAATGTAAAAATACGAACTAAGCTAAAAGAACGAAGAGCTCGGTTTGTTAGCTTTAGCGTCAACGTGCTAATGTTTGTATGTCCTCAGGACTCCCAGGATGCTCCTCTGTTCGGGGAGGATTACGACCACAACAAACCACGGTCGTCTAAAATCAAGTGAGTCGTTGAAGTCAACTGTATTTTGAGCGAGTGTTTGACTTTAAACTCTAAAGACTAAAGTGAGAACCTGTGTTCCAGACACCCTCTGGCGTCATTCTTCCACCTCTTCTTCCGAACAAGTGCCATTTTGATCTACTTGATTTGTGACGTCATCAGCAGTCGTTTCATCGTGTCCATGGTCACCATCATCCTCCTGCTGTCATGTGACTTCTGGACTGTGAAGGTGAGCGCCCCAGGTTAGGTTTTCACTGTAGATATAATTATATTGTATAAACCGTATTTGTTTCTAAATAGTAAATAGTTCATCACCCTTCCACTGAGTTGCGTGGTAATCCGTCCAGTAGCTTTTTTGCGTAATTCAGTTTTCCAACATACAAACAATCACATAACAGACAAACACATAAACTTCGTTGGTGGAGGTAACTAAAGCTGTTACAAAATGCATTCAATCCTCACAATAATAAAAAGCTGCTATGACAGAATATTTATTATTCACATTCAATATTCCTTTTGATTGTTTCTTGTGAATAATGATAAAAAAGATTAGCTGATTATCAAAGTGTCTTCGAATGAACCTTATGTTTGATTTAAATATATGTTTCACTAATTAACTAAAAATATTTTATCTTTTATTTAAATGTTTTCACATCCATGTCCTCTGTTTCTCCTTTTCTTTTTTTGTGCATCTTTGTTTGTTTTTATTTACGTATAGATTCCTTCTCTTTTTTCAGAATGTATCTGGCAGGTTGCTGGTCGGCCTTCGGTGGTGGAATCAGGTGGATAAAGATGGAGGGAGCCACTGGGTGTTTGAGTCGAGGAAGGTAAGCAGAAGAGTGGGCTGGTGTTTGCACAAAGCCCATTTCAGCTTTCATGCAGCACAGTTGGAAACACAAGATAATTAACCTCCATCATTATGGTTCTATTTTACAATTAAACATGATTATGTCAGCAAACAAAGCCAGCATTCTGTAGAGTCACAGTGATCTCAGTTAATAGAGGGATATTCAAAGTAATTCACAGGCGAGTGTATTCCTGTCACTTTTAAATGGTGCAAGTTATGGTGTATGTGGTTTCCAGCATCGTAAGTTACAAGATTATCACCATATAATATAACTACATGGCCTTAATAGACAATTGAAGGTTGTGTAACATTAATCAATTGCACTGTCCTCCTTGTTTCCTTTTGTGAGCAGACACACAGTGGGAACATAGCATCCAGTGCTGATTCACGGATCTTCTGGCTCGGACTTATCGTGTTCCCCGTCATTTGGTTCATCATGGTGTTCAGCGCCATCTTCTCCTTTAAGATTAAATGGCTGGTCAGTTCGGAATCTCTGTGTATTAATTTTTCTCAGTCTTAATACCTGAACAGACATTTGTTTTGTTTATGTCTCATTCCTGCTTGTGATTTTTCTTTCCCCCAAACAGGCTGTTGTGATAATGGCCATGATTTTACAGTGGGCCAACTTGTACGGTTATGTCAGATGCAAGGTGGGCGGAAAGTCCAGCCTGGGAAGCATCGCAAAGAACTACCTTGGTGTCCAGATTTTAAAACGGGTATGTACAAACAATTCTAGGCTTCTTCTCCCACATTTTATCCAACTCATCGTCAAATGTATCTTTTTTTTTCTCCAGGCAATGAAGAAAGGCGAGGGACCATGAATTTGAGGTGGACATCACAACCAATCTGCAGTGTAATGGAGAAGAAGACTGGATGAACACATTTGCTTGATTCAAGTTTAAAAGGTGGCTGGTCCTTTCTGAGGGTGAAGAGATTTTGTATGTGTCGTTTTCTCTGGATTCTTTGTTTGAAGATTTCCCTAGGTTTTCTGTAAATTCCAATTTAAATACAGTTCCTAGAGCAAATTTCACTAATTTATTCTAACAGTTCATCAGTGTAGAGTTCAGTGATTCTGACTGCAGTTTATTTAGTCAGGTGATCTCATTGACATCAAGGTGTCTTTTGTAATCTCTGAACAAATTACATTAACACAAGATCACAACAAGACAACTCAGAAACTGAACACAATCATCAAACACACACACAACCAGATGTATTCCAGCAGTAAGACGTATGGTATTGGAAACATTAACATTAAGAGGGTGATGTTATAAATGCACGGAAATCAGGGCACTTTTGTTCCAAATATTGAAGCGTCAAATGAGTTTCCTTTTGACTTGAAGTTTTGTTACTGTTTGCTGTCAGGCAGAATCTATGAATGTGAAAGGGATATTTTGGGAACACGCAAATCATTTTGTAAGTGGCTACTAATCAAACCTAGGATGTGGGTATTTATACCAATTTTTTCTTTTTGAAATCAAACTGTATTATAACTGACATTCCAGGGTATGGGAGGGAGAAGTGTTGTGAATCGGTTCCGGTTTTGTACAAAAACTGTTCATTTACTCAGGTCTGTTTAGTAAATGAGAGAATAAAGTTTTTCACATTTTTGAAATGTGAGACTTATTAATGGCTGGTTTTAAATGAAGTGTATTTGAGCATCACCTGAATAAGATGAAGTAGTTGTCTGCTGGTCACAGCCTTTGTGCTTCAGATAAATATACTTCATACATATATAAGTTGTGTTTATTATTTCACATTTCACTTTCATAACATGTCATTAAGCAGTTTTGTTTTTATGTTGGACGTAAAGTTCTGGATTAAATATAAGCTGTTAAAATAGCTGTAAATGCTGTAAAAAATTTAACCACTAGGTGGCAACAAAGCATCTCTATTTGTCTTCGCCTTTCTTGAAGGAGCATGGGTTTCTTTTTCAGTAGAACACAAAATCAACATAGGCAAGATTTATATCTCATTTTCAGAAACTTATTAACACAAATAAAATATAAAAATGTACAAATCAGCACCACAATTCTTGACACAGTGACTTGGCGGTAAAATAGATGTTACAAATATGTGCTGGGATTTGCATCTGTCTTTACATTTAGGTTCTTCCGTTTATAAGATCTTCCAGAAATATATTAAAGTGGTGGACGGTCACTGCTGTATTAGTACCAGAAATCAAAATGGTTCACTTGACATGTGACAGTTATCATCACATAATTCATGGCAAAGAAGTACGCACTGCCTAAAACGAAATAGAACCAGAAAAAGGTTTGGTCCAGCATGTTGGCGAGCGCCTGATGTCTTTCACTCTCCACTTCCTTGGCTTCCAAAGCCTGCAGGAAGTTTACCACCTCCCTGAGCATTTTATTCGACTCCTCCGAGCCATTCAGCTGAACCACACTGATGTCAGCCTTGGCCTCTGGAAGGATTGAAGTAGCAATAAGGAAAGACGGAATGTGTAACACCCAAACAACAATAGTAAAAACACTCTACCCAGACATTGTAGCACAAACTTATACAACATATAATATTTTCTTCCTCACCGTCATCCTCTCTGTCCTCCTTGTTTCCTGTGTTTTTTGGGCCTGACCGCTTTGGACAGCAGCAGAAAATTAAGCTGCCATCTTTGGCCACCCGAGTCAGAACCAGGGACACCAGCATGCTCAGCACCAAAAGCACAAGGCAAACACAGAAGTGGGTTCCTGCAGCACAGACAAATGATTAGAGACTCGTGCATTTTGTTATGTACCGTGAGTGTGTCTGCATTCCAGTGCGAGGGGACTGACGGATGATGGGGCTGCACTGGCTGTCTCCGGGCAGCTTGTCGTTGAGGATGCCAAGGAACATGGTAAAGCTGAGCACCAGCGTGACCTTGAACGAGTTGCGTTCGCCGCCTCCCAGTGGCAGGGCGAAGCTGACCATATCAGCCAGGACAATCAGGATAGTGGGCAGCTGTAACGTGATGAAGGGGTTGGTGTATTTGATCCTCAGTGACACCTGTGGAGGGTTGGAAGACACAATTTCATGGCTGTTGTAAGATTATAAAGAAAATATACTTTTTACCTCCGCCAAGGAGGTGAGGTTTAAATCACATTTTCTTTGATTTCGATTGATTCATGGATCTTGATTTAATAAATCAGACATTTTTAAGGAACTTATACATATGTCTGTGCAATTTGGTGCAAACACACATATAAATTTGGATCTGGTGAATGTAAATGTGGTTTCATATGGGGACTGTAGGTATGTATTCAAAATGATAGTGACCTAACCTTCAACCTCATGTAATTTTCTTTTTTAAGAATGTTCTTGTTGTATTTGAAAACTGCTGATCCACTTATAAATTAACCAACTAATCTTTTCTAAAGCTGCATCATGTCACAGCCGTCTCTAAATTAAATACCTTTTACTTCACCAACTGAAACAATTATGCTTGACTGTTCCTCATGTTGATGAACGTACCATGATGTAATTGCGGTCGTCTCTCTGTTTAAGGAGGGACACGCTGTCGGTTTTCCAGTCTCCGTGGGTGCTATCAACCATTTTCAGATTGCCCAGTGCCAGCTCTGTGCCACATCCTGAACGACACAAACTCTTCTTTAGCATTGTTTGCTTTACATGATATTTTCCCAGGTAGGAAATACATAGGCAGTCAAATAAGGTTGAATGAATTGAAATAAATTAATATTGAAATTGAGGTGCCGCTGCCACGAGCTTATCCCACAGAGAAATCATGCATCTGCACACATTTCAAACTAATAGACACTCTATCATCTTCTGAAGATTAAATAGAATGTGAGAAGAGAAAAGGAGTCTTAAAAGTTCACACATACTAAACACATATCTAATTATGACTGACAATCAGTTTCCTCCAGATCTTTGATAAAATGTCGTATTAGAATTTGTTTATGTGATGAGCCTACCGTCAATGGACCAGGTTTGGATAGCGACTGGACACGCATCAGAAGCAAAGGGGTAGTTGAACAGATTGACCTCAGCGTTGATGATCACAGAGTGCCTCACGGTGCCGTTACTGTACGCCAGCAGGTCACGGGAGCTGTGCTCCATAGTTGTATATATTCTATACCCACGCAAGAGACGACAGGAAGGTGTCAAATGAACTCATCCACAAAATGAACATGGTGATAATGGGATTCCTGTAAAGGACTCACCCATTTGTCACATGGAGCTCTGGGGTCCAGATTTTATTCACTGGCAGGATCACTTCATCATACTGGTAAAGCGACGTGTTCCACGTCAACTCAGGATCTCTCCATACCTGTGGTTAAAAAATCAAAATGAATGGGACTGAAACATAAGTGTGCATTTGTTTCTCTTTATTTCCCCGGAAGTTTCTTGGAGCTTACGATTGTTGCTTGCAGACGGCTGATTAGACGGAGATTCTTTGTGTCCTGTTCAAAGAAAGACAGTAAATGTAGTTAGGACACATTCAGCTGGTTTATAAAAACAAAGCTTAGTTAATTAAGATATTTTACATGCGAAAGCACATCCTCAGAATTTATTCGAATAATCGAAATAGTCACGCTTGTAGTTATGTGAGATCTAAAAGGGAAAACAAGAGGAAATTCTCAGTTAGCTCCAAATGTACAACACAATACTTACAACTGACAGAGTCTGGTACTCAATTAAAGGGACACGTATCATCCTGGTGCAGTTTTCATACTGTGGCTGAGTTGAAAAGTTTTTATTGATCAACATTTCAGCCAGACATCTGCGATTTGTGCAGCTGGATTCAGCATCTCCACATCCTGAAATTGGAATTTAAAAAAAAAATAAAGTCAGGTTTATTACATTTTATAAAAAAAACCTTTGTTTTATGGAAGTTAGACTTACCAGCTGTTAAAACTAGTACGACGGCCGCCCTCATCAGAGTCTGGGTATAAGAAGTGAATGTTTCTAAAAGCATCGCTGCAGGAATCAGACTTCACATATGACTGATAACTGCAGAATGACTGATCGCTGTGTGTTAGGTTGTCACCATCCCTGTCTTCTCTTCCTTCAGCCTCACATGACATTTAAATAGGCCCGTCCGTGACAATCAAGCACAATATTCACAACACGAAGGCACACGACAATATCAAGGACTCACAATAGTGTGTAAGAATACCCTTGCGTGATTAATTACACTGAGTGTTCAGCGTATACCTCAGTGATCCTGTGTAAACAGTCAGAACAATAGTGGAATTGCTCTCTCTGTGTATTTACCTGGCCACAGACATAGGTAGCTCCAGCGGCTTTTTTGTAATCACAGCGTAGCTTCGGGGCTGAAGAGTGAGAGGAAGCGTCCAATAATGGAGACGTGAGTTGAGCTGAAAGAGCTGGGACTCCCAGTACTGGGTGCAGGACAAAGACTTGTGCCTCCTCACAGAAGGGCCATTAAAACACATTGTGCTGTCTGGATTATGAATCCAGGTTTTGTTTCTGGTTCAATTTCACATGCTGTTCCATAATACTAATGAGAATCTACCCACAACCTCAACTACACCTCCACAATATGAATTCCATATATTATGTGGTTGGTGTGTGTCATGTACAACGATGGAGAATTGTAATCTACCTGTGCCTGTCTGTCTGTCTGTGGAAGGCATATCTCGGGAACCATTCATCTAATCCGTCTCACATTTAGCACGTGTGTTCTTAAAGGCCCAAGAAAGTGCATTATGTGATGTCATATAAGCACTTGAAGAATTCAGAAAATTTGCATCATGCATCGTTCAAAAGGAATCTCATATCTCTTTATCCCATAAGACTATATATACATGACCTGAAGCTTATAAAATGTTCACATGGTCGTAATGATGTCATTAAGACATCAGTATGACGCCAGAAAATGATGTCACATTTGAATATTTACAGCGCATATGCAGGCAGATATCTACATAGTGATTTTTTAAGTCATCATGTTGTTGTCTCATGTCTTTAACACCTAAATTAACATAACCTCACTGTTGGGTAGATCACTGTGTTCCGTAGCAAAGAAAGTAGAGCGACTTCCTGTCCGTCTGTGTCTGCGCTTATTCATTATATAGTCGCAGATGAACTGTTCTACCGAGGTTATCTCTCAGAGGAATGTTTCTTATCTCTGTTTTCACATCTCATCTAACAAAAGAAAACCAATACATGTTGAATCAGGTCAGTTGGAACAGAGGGGAAGGTCAATAACACCGAAACAACCTTGTTTTGACGTTGTTGACCTTTTTGTTACAGCTTTGGATGCTCTTATGGCCGTAATAAATGTGGTTTAAAAGTTAGCGTGCTGTAGCGGTTCAGTTGTGATCTTTCTTGTCTTGTCAGAACCAAACTGAGGACAATTGAGACAATGAAAATCCTTGTGCCAATGGCAGTGACTCTACCTGCTGGAGAAAAGGTTAACCTTCTGTCTAATGAATAATATAAAATCGAAAGAAAAATGACTCAAATATATGTAGCTGCCATATAACCTTGCTGAATATCATTAACACGTATCTGCCTTCATCTTGCGGCCAATTATATTTCGCCACCTGCAAAAAAAAGAGGCTTTGATGTTTCTGTTCTGATGGAAGCTCTAAAATAATCTATGGGTCATAAATTCTTCACAATCGTCCAATAGGGTTTCAGAAGTTGAGGTTATTGCTGTGATATCAGGAGAAAAGGAGACTTTGCCTCAGGACCAGGTCGCTCCCCCAACACTCTGCAACCAACTCAAGGTGGAGGTAACTTTGTTTGCACGTCTCCTATTGCTTGGTACAACTAATGGGCTCGTGTGACACCTGATATCCTCTCATTTCTGCTCTCACAGTAAGTTGAACTTTGAAATATCTTTTTTTATGATTCATAAAAAATGGAAAATTAATAAACAGAAGTACTGACAGCGATTTTAAATATGATGAAAGTAATTTTTCATGTTTCAACAAACTATTTGTCGATCGGGTGCTGGTGGGTGGGAAAGACCCCAGGGGTCTGTTGTTGTCCATGTAACTACCCTCAATGATTTGCTGCAAAAATTTAAAAACCGGGTCATACATGCAAGTTGAATACAGCTGATTTCCGTCTTCTATACTGTTTCATCTACTTATCTCTAAAGTGCTGTCAGTACTTAGCGTGCCATTACCACAGCATAACAATCCATGCAAAAAAGAGTGATTATGAGATTACATGTTTAAATAGTGCTGTTTTTCTGTGTCATTTTTCTGTGAAACTTTAATGGAATTCATAAAAAAACAACCAGATGTTTGTCCAACTTTTGTAACAGTTTTCCTCCTAAAGGTGTTGTGCATTACAGTGCAGATTTCTTCCATGCTCGGCTACAGTAAAATCTTATTTACAAAGATGGGAACAATAACACTTTGACACTGTTGGAAAAAACCCTGTAAGTATAGGACACTTTGCACTTACACCATAGGTGTAAAATTAGAATCATTGATCATAAAACTGAGATAAAAAACATTACATGTTCTGAAGTGACTCAATTAAGCAATAAAAAGTTGAGATAAAAGGCTTTCTGACTTCATGCAAGGAAGAAAACAACTTGGAAATCATCTCATCGATCACTGGGTTATTCACCGTTCTGCACTGATAAATAATAATAATAATACTTAAGTGCTACTTAGTAAGTGCCATTACTGAAGAGAGAAAGTGAGAGAAAGAAAAAGCCCTGACTGGGTTGTATTTTGTGTCATTGAAACAAAGGTTTTGTGGTTAAAGTTTGACACAGGCAGTACCAGGTAGAGGTGAAAGCTGTTAGAGGATAATAATTTACCCTCATTGGGCCAAAAATAGATTAATAACTTCACTTAGGTTCTGCTTAATTAACCAGGACAAACCTTCTTAGAACAAATGGAGTAATAACATTGATTGCATAAACACTTCCCTGCTAATCAAGCCGTATTTCCTTTTATCTGCAGGTTATTGACAACGAGCTTGAAGTACATACATATAGATCTTGTTGTGGACTCTAACACAAATGACCAAATGGATGTATCAAAAATAAGTAATTCTGGGACTTTCCCTTGTTTTCCTGACATTATTCTGGGTCACACCTGGAAGGCAACACTTTTCCAAAACTCAAAAGAAAGTAGATGAGACGAGCTGAATAAAAAGATATTCTTCCCCCAGAGAAGATAGATCCATCTGACACAAAGCTGTTGTTAAACTTAAGTGAATAATCAATAATACCTGAACAAGGTCAAACATGAGGGACTTTCTTCCTCCTGGACAGAAATATAAGGTGGCTCAGGTTCATGTCAGTGAGAAAACATAATATAATTTGTGATATGGGGAAAAAAATAAACACATATGCACTTTTTAATCTTTTTAACAGACTATTTATATGGTGTTTTCCAGCCTTATTGTGCAACACTGTGAAACGTATAAGTCAAGTATTCACCAGGTCATACATGCATGTTGAATACAGCTGATTTCATGCTTCTATACTGTTTCATCTAGTTTTCTCTCAAGTGCTGTCAGCACTTACCGTGTCATTACCACAGCATAACAATCCATGCAAAAACAGTGATTATGAGATAACATGTTTAAATAGGGCTGTCTTTCTGCGTCACTTCATAATTTGTTATTTGAACCTTTAATTGAATCAAGTAAAAAAAAAAAATTTGTTCAACTTTTGCAGCAGTTTTCCTCCTAAAGGTGTCAGACATGATGCAGATTTCTGATTTTTTTTTTTTTTTTTTGACTTTTTGTTTACTTACATGCTCAGTTTCTGTTCACCTACCAACAGGATCCCAGTCACAGTACAGTAAAACTCATTAACACAGACGGGAACAATAACACTTTGACACTGTTGGGGAAAACCCTGTAAGTAAAGGACACTTTGCAGTTACACCATAGGTGTAAAATTAGAACCACTGATCTTAAAACGGAGATGAACAACAGTACATGTTGAGATAAAAGTTTGCCTGACTTCATGCATGGAAGAAAACTACTTGGAAAAAACCTCATCGATCACTGGGTACTTATTCACCATTCTGCACTGATAAATAATAATAATAAAAGTAATATTTTCATCAGTAAGAATTCACACTGCTGTCAGATTACTGAAGAGAGAAAGTGATATGAAGAAAAAGCCCTGACTGCTGACCTCTCATGTTCGTGGACGACCCTCTCTGATATCTGAGCCGCCCTCTCATAGGTACAAACCTTAGGAATACTCAGTTACAATTAAACATTTTTGAGCAAAAACACTAAAATCTTTACTTTGAATCTAAAAATGAGCAATGGGCTTTAATAGTTACAAAGTTAATAGTTACAAAGTGAATATTAATACAATAAACTGGATTTAATTGCTGTGAGTTCAACATGATAAAGGCTGCAGCTGTGGCTTTCTGAAACACAGGGAGGATGTTGGGTAAAAGCTCCAGCTCGGCATCATGTGACAGACACAAACAGAGAATTAAACATGACTAAAACGACCCAAACACGTGAGTTGAAAATTCAGGCAAAACCGAAACGTCTCTCCAAAAGCAACATGATAAACATGGTCTTTGTTGGGCTGATTTCCTGTTTACATGGTTGGCAAACCTTATAACCTGATACTTTAAAGTGATTTAAGATTTAAAAAAAAGTCCTTTATTAGTCCCACAATGGGGAAAATGTCATCAGCAAGTAATACGTAGCATGCAATACTGAAGTGTAAGGAATGTAAACAAATATAGAAACATATGAATGTTATTTAATGAATGAATTTAAGCGTAAACTTTAATGCTTCCATCACACTGAATGATGACATGTTAAATAGCTCTTATTTGTTGTCTATTCTTTTTTATTGTAACAAGCAGGAGACTGTAAATCTCCTGCATGATTACATGTGGTTGTAATGCGGACATCATAGTGTTTATGGAGATCTTTTAGCACAGCAGATTTGGACTGTCTCCAGACTGTAAAGGAACTCGTGGTTAATAATCAACCAGGAAGAAACTTGTGCTCTTGGAGTGCTCTTGGCACAGATTGACCCAGGTCTGCTTTCTCAAACAGGAAGGGCTCAGCTCAACAAACAAGTCTCAGAGACTTTTACATTTTGGTCACATGCAATGACTAAGATTCTCTCCTCCTGGCACATGATTAGACACCTTAATCATAAACCTGATTTTCCATCTCATTCCTGTGTGTCTGCAGAAGGCTGGTCACAATGAGCACAGCACAGGGCGAACAGGTCGTCATCGATACCCACTACACCACCGTCCACACGCTGGAAAGGCAAAGTGGAAAAGAGAGCAGGCGGCTCCGCTACATGCAGAAAGATGGGAGGTTTTCTGTGGTTTTCCAGAAAGCCCCGGGAGGCTGGTGCCCATACCTGACGGACTTCTTCACCACTCTTGTGGAAATCCGCTGGATGGTGATGATCCTCATATTCTCCCTTTCCTACATCCTCTCCTGGCTCTTTTTTGGCCTTTGTTATTGGCTCATCGCATTTGTGCACGGAGACGTCGACGACACAGCCAACGAACCCTGTGTGTACAATGTGCACAGCTTCACTGGAGCCTTCATGTTTTCAATGGAGACCCAGGCGACTATAGGCTATGGCTTCAGGGGGATGAGTGAGAACTGTATCATTGCCATTATTTTGGTGACGGTTCAAAGTGTATTCAGCTGCCTC